GTACGTCAGAGTCGCGGTCGCCTTTCTCTCATACATATTCATCAAACGCTAATTAATCATCGCCGGCACACCCATGGCTTGCCACCCCCTTGGCAGGCCGCGAAGCTGGGGACAAAAAAAAAAAAAAAAAAATACGAGCGCGGTTACGCAGACACCTCCATATATTACGGACTACATCCAGATGTCGAAGTACGTCGCTATCTATCTATATATACAGCGAGATTTTTGCGCGGATACGCGGGAAAATATGAAATTCGCCAACAAAAGATATTTATGGTTTCTTTCAAAGATCTGTTTATCGAGAGAGAAAGAAAGACGTTATTCGATGGAAAGACGTTTGACATTAAATATCGATACTTTTTCTATATAAGAAAAACCAATTTTTATTAACTTCGTAAACATTCTAAAAATAACTACCGACCGAGCGCAATAAGAGATGAGCGCAAAGTGTTCGTCGATCTTCGATAGTAATGTTTCAAACAAATTATCATATAGCGAAACCAAAGGGTTGCATCTAAAGAACAGGTCATAAAATTCAACGTAGGCGTTAACTACCGCAGGAGAGAAAATCAAACAATCGAATATACATCTCGATATCTAAAAAAATATCATACAAAATATCAAACGCATTCTTTCTGCTCTCATAAATATCGCCGCGCGCTGAACGATCAATCTAAATTGTATAATTTTGTATAATCTCATTAAGCAGACGGCCACCTTCGCACGCACTTGCGGGGTCTTCCAGGTCGGGCGGCCGGCCGGCCGTCCCTTTTCACGCAGACGGGCCGCGTATAATTAGGTGTCGTTTATTTTACATCCGAAGGCTCAGTTGGGGTGACGCCCGTCCACCACTACCGAGATACGCGCGCAAAACGAATACACGCACACATATACACACAGTCGCGTGTTGCGGCGATAGCTCATAGAACGCTCGACTGCTAATGTGACGCGATCATCGCCACCCAGCCATTGATATTATGATACGCGCCGTGGGGGATGTCCGCATCCTTCTCGCCCTTACGGTATTTTCTGCCCCGACCCTTGTCTGCGGAGCGCAGTCCCCCCTCCGCCTTAAACCTCCTCCTCGTGGAATAACACCGCAATTTTCTACGTCACTGTTCGTACATTACGCGATCTCTCGTCCGCGAGATGACGGTACGCTCTGATGCTTCATTGACTTATTGATACCAAGGGAAGTATTATCGTTTGATTCTCGTTATTGAGATAGGATTCCGAATGCTATTTCAGCTAAATTTACGGTATTCCTTGTACGAGATGTACGGGAGTGGTTTTGAACCGATACTTTTTTTTTTTTTTTAATCATTGCCATTGAATCCGCGCCCCATTTGTTTTATAATCAAACAAATTGGTGGATTTTTTAAACATAATATTATTCATATTTTCTGTATAAATTGGTAAATAACATTATACATTTTTAGGATAATTCATTTTTTTTAATACTATTTTTATTTTTGATAGAGATTGTATGTGAGTTTGTACTAAACATTCAAACACACACACATAATTTAATCTTTGTCAATTTAGAAGCGTACATAGTCTTGCAACTGAAGATGACTAAATAAATAGTCGAAACGATTTTGCTTCAACATTGTTTTTTACCGCACACAACATCCTCTGCAACATTGGTTCATAATGGCCCAGTTAATACACACAAACGATCGTACGTGAGCTCAACGATCGCTTGTATGTATCTGTAGTTTTTTTTATGAAACAGTTGCGCGAATTTGAAAAATGAATGTAAAAATAAAAAAAAAAAAATAAAAAAAAAAACAAACAGGTATGTTTAATTTCCTATTTTGTGAAACGAAAATATCTGTTTATTTTTTTCCTAACGCTGACACCTGAAATTTTCAAGATTCGACGAGGACGCGTTTGCAGTTTGTGGAAAAACGGTTCCCCGTGTGTGTTTTGACTGCCTCCATCAAATCACAACGGGTCGGCAGATTGCGAGATCGCTGACAAATAAGCGCGGGGACGCACGGCGGACATATGGCTCCATAAAAAAAAAAAAAGAGAGATACAAGAGAGAGGTGGCCTGCAGTAACTATCCAGTCGATCCGAAATTAATGGAGACCAAACACCGCACATTCTGTGTGTTGCCGCGCATCCCCCCCGCGCTGTGTGTGTACACACTGGCGTTTGCCATTATGCTCCTGTTATAATGTGTGTACACACCCCCTTTGGATACAATGGAATGATCTATGATCACTGCAAGTATGAATCCCGGCAAGTCAAACTCTCTCGCGCGCGCAATTCTTCTTCCCGTTCTTCTTCGCGCTCTTAAACTTTCGCTCTATTTAGATTTTCAGATCATAATTTTGCAGAGTTCAATTCAATTTGAATTTGCCAAGTGTCGATATTTGCGCGTGTTACGAGCAGAAGAGATTTGATTTTGATACAAATCAAATCTTCCCCCGTTAAATTTTTTTGCATAAATTTTAATAATCTTTACTAACGCTACGCTTTTTTTATTTCTATGATTCTTACACGCACATGTATGTGAAATTTCCTCAATGCGGAGAGCAACAGAGAATTTCGCACCTTATATTCGCCCCCGGAGGGCGAATAATTTCCGCGTTACGCTTACAATCGTGTAATTCGGCTGCGCCTAAGCGTGCAAACAATAAAATTGGATCTGGCCACCCTTGTCTCGGCGCATACGTGGCGCGTGACTCGAAGGGTGGGTTTTCGGAAGGTGGTCGTCGAGCCCACGGTGGTGGTGCACACCACCGCCGGGGAACCGGGCGGAAACTGCAAGATCAAAGACGTCCCCCGCACCAATTCTCCGCACCTTCTCCGTGACATATTACGTGGAAATTGACGCGGACAGGCCACGAGTGGCGCGCGGCGGCACATCTAAGCGAACTTTGATCATTTCACCTGTGGGACTTGCACAAACCCGCCCCACGGCTGTCGCGATAAGGAATATACGCGATTGTCGCCGATAAATTCACTTCTGGCTCTGGCATTATGATGATGCTATTTCGCGATAAAAATGCGAATCGGACGTCGATATTTCCGGCGATAAAGCAGATAAGAGTATAACATCATTAATAAACATCTTTCATCACAGAAAGATTATCACAGAAATATTTCGCTCCTTGTATATAATCGATGACACGCGAAAAAGAAAAATAGAAACGAATAGAAAATTAAATATGAAAATGACCGAAACCACAGGTCGAAAACCTGTTTTACTTTTACAATAAACAAAGTTAAAATTTGCACCTCTGTGTCTGCTTCTAAGAGCCATTGTTAAATATTTTTTTAAATTGTCGGAGCTTTACGCACATCAAAATTAAATATGTTTTAACGAACAAATTTTTAATTTTAAATTTTACCTTTCCGGAAGAAGACAATTGAGTTTTTTTACTTTTTTGTTTGTCACACTTAGTTTACACACACGGCGTGCGTTTTACACAAATCTGTACTAAAACCTGTTCTGGAAAGGATAATCTCCCTGGAAACAACTGAAAGCATCGTTTACGATGTCTTTACGCCAGACATAAAGTTATGTCGATATTACTGTGGCAAATCACACAATAAGACTTTCGATCTATATAGACTCCATCTCTTCGATTCTTGTTGAGTATCGAGTGATTATCCCAGTAGATAATTTGTATCCACAGAGATAATGTGTACAATCATCTCAATCTTAAGATACCATGCGTCGTTTGATATACTCAGTCGATATATCGACGTACATCGATATATCGATATGTGATACTATGGTAGAGTTCAAAGAAAACCGCACCGCACGAATATTACCAACTGTAAAACGTAAGAGCTTTGTCGTTTTGACGCTTGCCGCACTTGACTGCAATTGCGGGTAAAACGTTGAAACTTTTGTAAATATACGATATATCAGAGTTATCGCTATCGGAGAGAAGAAGAGAGAGCGGCCAGGCTCATAAGAGTTTTAATCGATCGATTTTCCGCCACATAAGCTAACGCATGTCCACGAGCGACTTGTCCAAACATGGACATGGTTCTATTCCGTGCTACGTGCGGTGGACACGGTTCTATTCCGTGTTATACGCACGTGCGTTGATAAAAATTCGTTTCGCGGGCGCGGGAAGCTGAAAGTACGAGGCAATTCCGTAGCAGTAACGCAAACGGACGCCGTACTACCCTAACTAGCAATCATCATGTGACTTTAGTCACGTTTTGGATTTTCTTCCTCCCCCCCCTCCCGTCACGTGACTTCACTTCAGTTGCGTTTTTAAAGACATGTGACTACAGGAAAGTCACGTGACGTTAGTCACGTGTTGTTTTTTTCACCTCTTTGTCACGAGACTTTAGTCAAGTTTGTAACGTGACTTAAATAAAGTCACGTGATTTGAGTCACGTGTTGTTTTTCCTTTCTTCCTCTGTTACGTGATGTAAAATTCGACTGTGAACCGGGTTTAAAGCCCCTTGCACAATGGACGGAATAGCGATAGCGATAGAAATAACAAAAGTTTTAAAGAGTTTATATTTAAAAATAAATGTAGGAACAGCGGAATCTAACATACAAAACTACACATGTATCAATGCGGATCAGAAAATCGGATTAAGCAATAGCGATAAAATTTCCGACGAGGTGGAATTCAGTGTTAAAAACTGTGTTATTTCTATCGCTATCGCTATTCCTTCCATTGTGCAAGGGGCTTTAGACTCGCGCACACAGCACGGAAGAGAACCGCACGGTTGTGAACATAGCACGGAATGGAACCACGTTCACGGTTGGTCCATAGACGTATAATATATATAGACTGCGCGTTCCCTACCTTTGCCATGTTAAGAAAATGTCTTCAACGTGGAGAGAGAGACAGCTGGTGTTGAATAGTAGCCTCATCTTTGTCTAGCAAAGTAGTGGGGTAAATGATAGACAGAGAAGGGGTTACTATTCAAAGTATGTTGTCTCTCTCAACGTTGAAGACATCTTTTCAGCCAAACGCGCAGTCTATATATTATACGTCTATCGGTTGGTCATAGTGTACGTACCGACAAGTTTGTTTGCGGACACGATTACGTAGTTGCAAATATGCACCATCCGTGAACAATTGCGCTGGTTTACTGGGTGGTAAAGCTAGTACACATTCTCTTGTGGCCCTGGGCGTTCTCAGTCTTCTTCTCCAAACCACGCCTTCTCTCTGGTACGTTATATAGCAAAGATAAGCAAGGGAATAGAAAAAGAAAGAAAAAACGATTGTGTGACGAACTTCGAAGAAATATCATTTATATGTTTTTGTAAATGTGGAAGTAATATCACTACACATACATGTGTAGAGTATGTTTATACCATATTATATAATACTACAAGTTTTGCTATGTTGATTTTAGAGTAAAAATTATTCAACATCAGGAGCAAATTAACATACGGACGATTTGACATAAGCAGATTCACGAGATGGCTGTCAAAGAGAAACAAACCGAAAATTCGATCGACGAAATCGAATGGAACGTGGAGAACGAGATTCAGCTCTTCTTTGCCATGAACGGACACAAGCCAGTTGGTAAGACGTTGAAAGCAAACGAAAGGGTCTTTTGAGGTTATGTTTACTACTGCAAATGTTTATAAACAAACAATTGTGGATTTGTCATCAACAACAAATTGATGCATCTGCGATCTCATGAATTGTTTCTCAGGTATTAACAAGTATTTTCATATGGTGTGCATATGGGAAAAATTTCGTGCTGCCATTCATAAGGATGTTTCTTTGAAGCTAATTTGGGATCATTTGGAATCTATGTATGATCTTGTAGGTTTGGTAAGCTCACTTTTATGTGAGAGAAATAAACTCTGATTATTTTATTCTGTATATAAAAATTGATTTCGATAGGACGACATGGAAGAAGATTTACCATTTCCAAGTCACGAGATAGATTTTTATCTGCCAGAAACGGAATTTATGTTGAAACCTCGACGAAAAGAGGAATTAGAAACAAAAGTAAAAGATCAGAAAGATAAGTACAAGGAAATTAAAAAAGAGAAAGATGTCAAAGATAGTTCCAAGAAAGATAGTATGCTACGTGATTTTAAAGGGAGTAAAGATATTGAAAAGAAAAAGGAAGACATCAAGAAGTATGTAAAGGATGTAGAAATAAAAAAAGATAAGCTGAAAGATGTGAAAGATGTGAAAAAAGAATATAAATCTATGAAAGGACGTTCAAAAGGAAAAGATGATCTGGATGAGAGTGGTATATTGATTTACTTTTAACCTCTTAGGCACTATGCGCCACTATAGTGGCTTTCGCGGATGTCATCTTTCTGTACGACGCGCCACTATAGTGGCTTTCGCGGATGTCATCTTTCTGTACGACGCGCCACTATAGTGGCTTTCGCGGATGTCATCTTTCTGTACGACGCGCCACTATAGTGGCTTTCGCGGATGTCATCTTTCTGTACGACGCGCCACTATAGTGGCTTTCGCGGATGTCATCTTTCTGTACGACGTGCCAGTATAGTGGCTTTCGCGGATGTCATCTTTCTGTACGACGCGCCACTATAGTGGCTTTTGCGGATGCCATCTCTCATAATTTAATCATCAAACACTTCATTCCAATGTACTCGTGTAAAGAACAGCATTATCCGTTACGCATTGCAGTGCCGTATCATTTACACGTAATTCGCGTTGAACTCTGCCGTACAGAGAAACAGCCCCGCGCAAAATTCAGCCGTGCCTAAGAGGTTAACTTACATTTATGATTTACATGACGTTGTCTGTGATATTGCAAATTTATATTTTTCTGTTTTTTTTTTTTTTTTTTATGAGCAGTAAACGGAAAGAGAGAACGTAGAGACTCTGAATCTAGTCGCGAACTTCTGAAGAGAATTCCTAAACGACCGACCAGACAAAGCATGGACAATACCTGTAAAGTTTCTAGCCCACGTGATACACCTCCATTAAAACGAAGAAGAATATAACAATTACTGTAAATAAAAACGATCTCATGTTCTTCTGTACATCTAGTGGTAAACTCTAGCATATATGTAACACTTATTATAATATCGTTTTTCATAATTAGTCCATATACTTAAGTATATATAAACGAAGGGAAAGCTGTAATTTTTTTATATTTTATAGAGTTATGTGTATAAATATATGTCAGTTTTAAATATTTTGCTTCGCTTTCTAAATAGAAATATTTAATATCACGTAGAATGCTTTGTTTGAAAAAGCATTCGGCAGGTCACTGTGAGTACTGAATCTCGCGTGACAAAATTTATTATATTTTGCTCAATTTATATTTCACTATTAATTAGATTTTCTCCCCATACGCGGATTAATTATTCCATACTAAACCTCAAAAAATTAAGATATAAGAAGTGCTCAGTAATTATAAATATTTTATTGTACAAGTATGTTTTTAGCTGTATACAAAAAAAAAGCGAAAACACCTAATAATTATCCTTAAACCATGTTGTACTACATAAAAGAAGAACTGACAAGTCACGCGGATGATTTACGGGTACGTCGAGATAATCGGCTTGCGAGAGCACGTCACGTTTTGATAGCGCGCGCAAAAAAAAACAAAAAAAAAAATAAGTTAGTGTGTTTTGTTAAACGCGCGCGTTAGTAAATATCATGTATTATTTTGCCCTCCTGGAGTCAATAGTGATAATGACGTAGTGTAACCGTTGGGGTCACGTGTGCGGGGGTAAGGCACAACGACAACGAACCCTATTGGTTGTCGTCATCATCGTACCATCCACATACATGTGGTATTCTCATATTACGATAACAATTGAGTATTTTCACGCGGAAAGATGTTTGCCAACGGAGAGAGCGAACTGATAACGATAACAACACGTTTTCGTCACTCTCGAGATTCTTCGTCTTTTTTTATATAATCAGTTTTATTGTCGTTATTCGGTAAAAGATTCGCATTAACACAACTACGCGAGATGCCGCGCTAAATTATCTCTCAAAGATAGAAACTAAGAGTTCAATAAAAGAAAGAACTGTTTTTTATAAAAACTTTTATAAACACAGTTTATCTTTAATTTTCTTAACTTTGCGCACATTTTTCACACAACAGAGTTGTTTCTTTGTTAAAAAAAAAAAAAGGATCTCTTTTTCTCTTTTTTGTCATATTTATAAAAATCTGTAGAAGAGTCACATGAATTTTTTGTTTTTTTATTGCAAAGAACAGTTGTAAAATTTTCTTTATAAATTTTTGATAAATATCATTTACTGTTTTTAAATAAAACAATCAACTCTTACAATAAAACTTTTTCAATGTGAGGTCACACACATAAAAAAACAAACTATCTAGAAGTATAAGAATTCTAAGCAAAACAGAGAGATAATGAATAATGATGATAAAAGTGCGTGTATTTTGAGCAATGTTATTTACGGGAGATCACGACCTCTCAAAGAAAGACAAATATGTGTATGCATCATTCAAAGAAAACGTTTGATGATATTGACGGTGCCATATTGCAACGGACCGTGTTAAGATCAAAACATGTTTTCGTACTTCGTTATATACTTTTCTTATGTTAAAAATCGATCCTCCCCTTTCTTGCGCAGTATAAAACAACACTTTCCTTACGTAGATTATCTCTTCATTACGTTGATACAATTAATCAAATCGCGGCTTTTTCATACGTCAATAGCTTGAAATTTCTTTAAATGTGAGATAATACGGACAGAATATTGTTAAAGCGATAAAATATAGTGTATACGAGAAGTGCTTATCGCATAGCGAGAATGGATAAATCAAACAGATAAATTAAAATATTTAGCTTTGATATATAATTGCTTTTATTATTATTTATTAAAAAAAAAAAAAACTGTACAAAAACAAAATTTCAATGAATACCCGGGAAAAAATGGATTAGATCTAACTTAAATTTAACAAGATAAAAAAAAAAATGGAAAAATAGATCTAATTAGATCCAAATTAAATCTAAACAGATATAGAGTAGATCTAAATAAATATAAGTAAATCTATGGAAATTTACACTTTTATTTATTATTAGATCTACTCTTGATCTACTCAGATCTATTATAATAGATCACCTCAGATCTGTTCAGATCTGCTCAAATCTAACTAAATCTGAGTAGTTTTAATTATAGTAAATCTGAGTAAATCTAAAAAAAGAGTAGATTTGTTAATATATAAAGGTGTAAATTTAATAGATCTGCTTATATTTATTTAGATCTCTACTCTATATCTGTTTAGATTTAATTTGGATCTAATTAGATCTATTTTTTCATTTTTTTTATTTCGTTAAATTTAAGTTAGATCTAATCCATTTTTTCTCGGGTACTTATAGAAGTTACTGTTATTCACAAGAGCTCGCACATTACATTATTTAAACCTAGAATATACAACCTACCAATTTTAGGTTTATTTAGATACTGATTTATTTATTATACGAGCAATAGATGATTCACAAGCAAGAACGTGAGATGTCAAGAAACATTTCTCTTCGAGATTCAACGTTTCCGCGCAAAGATTCGATTGTTGTCGTTGACGTGATAACTGACGTGGTAAAGATACGCGAAAGAATCGATGTGAAAACAGTGAATATATATTTTCCGTATCGGTTTAATAAGCTGCCAACATGCGGAAAAATGATAAACCCAAGTCCTTGACAGTTGACATGGAAGCTAGCTCCGATAAGCGCTCGAAGCCGATGTTGCTTTTTCCGGCATCGACGTGATCTTAACCTTGAGACGCATAAACGAGCATACAACGTGTTTGCGAGAAAAAAGAAGAAGTATTTAGTTTGATAATTAAGATAATCGAAAAATTACGATATGCTTGTCGTCATTGCGTACTAGGGTAAAAGACCCAATTACTGTCACCTGTCCAATTACCGTCACCCTAAGCTATTTTATTTAAAATATTAAATAAATCCTAAAAAGTTCTGTATGAAAAAAATTGTAACATAGAAGTTTAAGTGCAATTAATATAACAAAAAATTCAGCACTCGACATTCTTGTCTCATTTCTTTCATTTTAGGGTTGACAGTAATAGCTCTTGCATCGTTCTTTTTTAATTGTTAAATTTATAAATAAAAATAGAGATTTTGAGAGGCGGTATTATTTTGTTTCTTATATCAAAGACATTGAATAATACCAGATAAGAAGAAAAACACATGTTTTTGATAAATAATGCGGTAAAAAATTTTTCATATATACTTACACACAAATTAGAATTATTATATCTAATTATCCAAATTTATATGTGCCGAATATGTCCATAAAATTGTATACACAGAGAATTTCTTTTTTTAAGAGAATGGCTTCAGAGATATTCCACATCAAATTACAAAATAACTCTATTAGTATCATGTTAGATACAAAAAATAATATAAAATTATATTTTTATTATAGTTTTAAAAAATTTTTGATATATAATTATATATACTTATACACACACAAATTAAAATTATTATATCTAATTATACAAATTTATATATATATATATATATGCCAAATATGTCCATACAATTTTATACATGGAAAATTTTTTACCGGGAAATAGTAAAAACAATTCGCGCTAACGCCAGAGTTTATTATTCAGGTGACAGTAATTGGGTCTTTTACCCTATACAGATACTCCGCCCGCATCAAAACTTGTGAAATTTCAAATGCACAAATGCTTTCTAATCTTTCATTTATAAATTATTTAAAATCTGATCTGTAATCAGTATTTATTGAAAAAAAATGTATAAAAAAAATTTGTAATCAGAGATTGTGATCAAAGAGGGATTTCGAATAGCATAAAAAAAAAACACAAAAAAGAGACACATGTGTAATCTCGAGAATCTGCGGTAACCAAGATTAATCGACTTGGAGTGTCTGGTCATCGTGAACTTCGCACCCGGCGATCAACTATATTGCGCCCGTAATAATACCACCATGGTTCTAGCTTGGTGCGCATTTATTCCGCTCGAGTGACGATTCGACTCGGTAATGATTGTGCACAATGATTACGCAACGGGGGTAGAGAGACTCGAGGGTCCAATCGTTGAGTAAGAGACGAGGTGAAGGTGAGCGGTGGAGCCTAGAGTAGGGTAAGGCAGTAGTGATAGTGTAGTAGTAATATACTAATATGGTAGTAGTAGTAATAGTAGTAGTAGTATAAGCGTGCGGCGTGCCGGCCGGTCGCACGCGGGGAGGATAAACTTGCGATCTCGCTTGCTTACCACGGACGGGAGAATACTTAGGATCAACGACCGGAACCGCATCGCGATCTCCATGGATCGCGAAGCGGGGCAGAAGGCGCAGAGAATTTCCCTTTCATCGCGGAACGTCCCGGTTCTCGTGTGCTCGCTCTCGCGTAAGTCGCGGTTTGTATTAGATAACGCGCGCGCGCTACTTACACAGAGAGTTTATACACGTAACAAGCGCTCTGCTCCACTTAAAAAAAAAAAAAAAAAAATTAAACGAAATTTTTTGAAAAGAAGAGCAATTAAAAAAGAGGAACTGATACCAGACTGATTGATGATTGATACATTGCTCTGGCACTTATAATATAAGTACTTAACGAAATAACACGTCACAATCAAAGAATCATTAAAAGTGTAATTTCGTGATTACACTTTTTTTTTTTAACACTTTTATGTCATAGAATTTTAAACTTTTGTGCGCGCGAACATTTTTCGTACACAATGAACATATATACAATCAATAATATTGATGATATGTACACCGAAAAAATTATATTCTCGTAAGTAGAAGATTTTATACTTAAAAAATCTTCTTAAAGATTTTAGATGATATTCTTCTGAAATTAAGAATATAGTCTTTTTCGATAGTGAGATATATACACCGAAAAAATTATATTCTTGTAAGTAGAAGATTTTATACTTAAAAAATCTTGTTAAAGAGTTTAGATGATATTCTTCTGAAATTAAGAATATATTCTTAATTGAAGAATATAGTCTTTTTCGATAGTGAGATATATATGTTTTTCTATAGAGGCTTTTTATATTCTAATCAGTATATATTTTTATCAATATTACTATTTAGAGGATTTTCCTCTTAAAATAAGAAACTCTTCTTGGCACCTATTTTAGTATAAAATATACTTAAAGTAAGTGGGATATATTCTCAAAACAAGAATACAATTTTTTTGGTGTATG